TTTATGTAGTCTTCATCAAAATTACTTAAATCTGCTTTTATCCTCAGAATGTTTGGTCCCCCTTCTGTTTCTTTTAAGAGCGTAGTGTTATTTGCCATGTAATCCAATGCTCTAACCATGCGATCGTATATATTTTTCTCGTATTTAATTTCCTCTAAATTGTCAATGATAGAAATGATTATGTCCAAGTCTTCCTGAATAAATGCTTTCTTAATTTCTTTTTCTATATTCTCTGGCTTGCAAGAATCGGCTTCCATTTTTCTGATTCTCTCAATTAGTCTTTTAAAAGTATAGTATTTATCGCAAATCAGCCTCAATCCGTAATCTAAAAATGTTACATTTTTTTCCTTTAAGTCATACAGTCCATCTAATGTATAGATTTTTTTTATAGACGAATATTTTTTTAAATTATTTGTTGGCTTTAGCAGATATAATAGAGAATTAGCATAAACAAAATATTTTTTACGCAGATTCTCTTCACTAAGCTGAAGTGCATTTTGTAGCTTTGTATCATCGATCTCCAGAGTGTATGATGTTCCAGTGCTTAAGTATGGACTATCTTCATCCGGATATAGAGGCTCAAATGATTCATTTATGGCAACCTTTCTATGAATCCCGTGCTCTGGTCTGTATATAAATGGATTTGGTTTCATAAACTTATTAATTAATTCTATCGACTTAGATTCAATTGATTTATCGTTTTTACTCTTTAGTGCTTGGCCTATCACGTACATGCTTAAGTCTTGATACTCATTATCTATAAGGAACTGAGACATATCATTTATAATTATGTCTAAGATGCGCTCCTTCTCTTCTTTGCTATGATCACTTTCTATTTTTAGACTATCACCACCAAATATGTCTTTTAGTATAACCAAATAGCTTGGTTTTCTACAGTTTGCATTTAAAAAATCTTCACTGTATCTACTATTGATAGACTTGCACTTCTCTACTATTCCTTCCACGTTTACCTTTATTTTAGCTTCTCTCCTGGACATCCTGAAAATTTTATTTACAAAAAATAATTTAAAAGATCAAGGGCTTCCCAAGACGGAAAAGCTTTAATTTTTTTTTGCACTCAGTACTTCATAGCAAAGAAAGGATTACTTCAGCTCTAATTAAATATTTTTTAGTAGTAGAATATTATACTACTATGCTTAGCTAGGACTAAACGAAAAAACTTAAAGCCAGAGGTTGAAATAAGAAATAGAATTGTGTAAAGCATGGTGTAAATAAAGAGTATAGTTATTGGCTTGGTTTTTCTTTGCTCTCTATAGATATAGGAAGAAATAATTATCCTAGTACTACGATTAATGAGTATACGAAAAGCCAGCAGAAAAGGTCTACAAGATGCAACCCAGGCATTGCTATAAGGCTAGGTCTTCGTCCAATATAGCCTAAAAGTATAAGACTAAGCTGTGCACGATATATAGCTTGCTGCTGCATATACAACAGGGAGGCTTCATCTTATGGGCGCATAAATAGGAAAAATGATTTTTTTACATGCAAAATCAGAGAATGAGGAAATTATTGCATTCAGGTGCACTGCTTGCTCTGTTTGCCGCAGAATGCAAAGGAAGCGAGAATCCCTTTAGTCAGAGAGCAAGGAGCAGCAAAGATCCGCGCATAAACGAAACTAAAGAGACTGACACACATGGATTATACTCTTCAGCTGTCGATTTGCCTATGGGCAGCAGCTCGTCCTGGAATGGGAGCTATTTTGGCGAAGTGAATGAAATAAGGAAAAAACCCACTCCAAAAGGACAGCATGCAGCAGAGTTCACTGGAGGCTCTTTTTCCATGGGTTGCAGCGTGTCCAGTACTTCTAGAAACACATCTACAACAGGGCGTACAGGCAGCTCGGCTCTTCCTTCCATCAGTGTATTTATGCATAGATCAGCGTGGAGTGAGCACACACCTTCTGAGGAGCAGAGAGTGTCTGGACAATGCGAACAGATCAACCAGCATCAGTACATATCGCAGCCTGGTGTACATGAATATACCTCAAATGCGAAAGCGTGCAGTGTGTCTAGTGCATCGAGCAATGAGCACATGCCAATCGATGAAAAATCGTATCTCAATTTTGTCACTCTAGACAAAGATACTTCCATCTGGACAGGACTGGAGTCATTCAAAACAATGGAGGATATGATAAAATGCTACAGCCAGCCTGGGCACTATGCGGAAGCAGCTAGCAGCAGCAAGAATTTTTTTAGTGAACCAAAGAATAGCAGTGCCAAAGTGTCTGCAGGAGAGAAAAGAGGAGTAGATGCAATGGATGATTCAATTGGCACTCCTGCTTGTCAATCTGTGGCGAAAGCCAAAAGAAAAAAGAAAGAAGTCGTAGCAAATGAGGAGACAGATTCTCTCGATCTAGTGGGAGAAAACGAAAAAACAATGGAAAATAAAGAACTGCCAGTTCAGAACAGCCGAGTATTCCAGCCTGAGACAGCGAGTGACAGCGAAAAAGGAACAGACCTTAACCTCAGCCTATGGAACTACAGAAGACTGTACAACACACGAAGAAGAGGATACAAACCAGAGAATAAAATACAATACAGACAAAATGTTACTGATAAGTTCCTAGAAAACGAAATAAAAAACAAGAGACAACAAATGAAGTTTAGAGAAGAAGTTGAAGACTTTTCCAGGAATGTTGCGCCTGGGATAGACAGCAATGCGATATGGTACTTCGTTGCAAGCAGCTGCAGAAGTATAAACCCAAAGTACAAAGTTCTCCTGGGGCTGAAAGACCTGTTCGAGAGCGCGGATGAAAAGTATAAAAAAATGGTGGAGAATCTAAAGGGGTACTATCCCGGGATAATCGATGATGCGATAGAGTATATAAGAAAGCACAGGCCAATGAACAACGGCAATGAAAAAGACTTATCTGAGTGCAGAGAGAGATGTGGTGATGTTTATATACGGGAAAACCTCGTGCCAAACTACTACAACCCAAGAGAGGACAGCTGGATTGATCAGATTGATGAGAAATACCACACCCTAGTGCATGCAGTTCGCATGATTCTGGTGCTGCCAGAGGTGTATGAGGACTTTTCAAACATCACATCAGAGTTTATAGAGAACACTGAGATACTGGAAGACACTGCTAACGACTTGCAGAACTACCAAATTCTGCTGAAAATACAAGAGCTTGTGGGAGCTCAGATCGAAGAAAGAATAGACAGTGATCTGTATGGTGAGCTCTACGACATCTTTAAAGATGTGTATGGCGAAGAAGCTCTGCAGAAGTTAGCAGCTGCTGATCTTTACAGAGACATGTACACCATCCTGGGAAAGTTCTATGAGAACGCAGAGCTTTTTGACAGGAGAAATAAGTATGCTCTCACAGGCAAGTACATAATATCAAACCAGAAGTACATAAAATGTGCAGTAAAAGCAGGCATAAGAACAGAAGAAAAAGATGGAAGGGTTTTAGACTCAGAGTACTCGTTTGAGAGCAATAAATGGGACATTTCACCAGATGTGCATGCACACTACCATGTGCTATATGTGAACAACACCACACACCAGGTTAGGGAGCTGTGCATGCCTTTGTACGAAGAGAAGAGCAGTGGAAAAGAGCACTACCTGCACACAATTGATGAGATAGTGGATCACATAGAAGAGATTTGCAAAGCAGAAATAGATTCAGGTACTGTATATCCATTTAAGGTAAAAAAGGGAACTAGGCTGTGGTCGTGCATAGATAAGAAGGAGGAGAGAAACAAGACAGTTAAAGACTTAGAAGAGTATGAAGTTGTTTTTTATCACATTGAAGAAGACCCCAAAACAGCAAAGTTTACATTCGCAGAGTTTAGACCGCTATGGGCCCAAAAAAAGAACAGGACATGCATCCCCCTCTTTCTTACTCCTCTGATGCGCTCGGCTGTGAGTTTGGGGCCCTTTGACAAGATGAGCGAGCACACAGAGATAGACTCAATGCACTTTGTAAATAGAGAGCCTGATGTGTATACATATAAGAGTAATTATATAGACATAAACTACTCAGACCTGTACAAATACTACAGCAATCTCTATATATTGAACAATACGAAAAAGAAAAAAAAAGTTGACTGCTACATCATGGGCTGCGTGCCGATTAAGAGAGTGAAAAATGCAGTGGAGGCTGTGTGGTACGTGAGAGTGCCAAGCAGTGTGGATGCGTACACACACTGTGTGCTAAATAAGAGCTTTATGGAAGAGGAAAACGCAAAAAAGTTCGATGATTTTATGGCAGCAGTGGAGTCAAGAACGTACTGCCAGGACAGCGAACTGCAGGGCTTCTGGCTGCGCAATAATTGTACCTCAGAGAGCGCATCAGGATGGAAGGGGCACACAATATTTAATCTACTAGCAAACAGCGACTGCTACAGAATCCATGCGACTAAAAAGAGCCAAGAGCAAAACAGGGTAAAGATTAACCAAACAGAATGTAAACTAAAAGTGATAGAAAAAGTGCAAAAAGAGGATCTAGATAAAATCAATAAAGATGCGAATGTAAAGCACAAAAAACAGCTGAAGAGGCCAAAGTACATCAAAAAACAAATCACCAAGAAACATCTGAAGAATATATGCAGAAAGCTGTATTTAAAGCAGACGAAAAGGCCGGACCCGCAGGCAGAGCTTATAGTTTTCAGGAATGTAAATGAAAATAGGTCCAATCTGTGCGCACACAACGAGATTCTTGACGTGTTTATTTCAATATATAAATTAAAGGTGAATAGATGAAGCAAAAATAAATACCCTTTTTATCTAGTGTGTTGTTGCTTATCTTTTGTTTTACCAACAGTATATTGTGTAATAATGAGTATTTTGCTGGCATGAGAGGTATAACAGCTAAGCGTGCATTTC